AGAGAGAGAGAGAGCGAGCGAGCGAGCGAGCTGAGGGGTTGAGCTTAACTCGAGTGCTACTAGTAGAGTAGTAGTAGTAGTAGTAGTTGAGCTTAACTTCAGCGCCGTGTGAGGGGAGTTGAGAGTGATTCAACTACAACGTCTTCTTGTCTTGCGCGCTCGTCCGCTGGAGAGCCCTTGCTCGTGTATGGACTTGCTCGCTTCCGCTTCTCTGAAGAACTCCTTCGTCCACTCGCGGTCGCGACAATGGCGCGCAGCATCAGCATGCGTGTCAGCGTGTGAAGTGCTGAACTACATGAACGAGACAGAGGATGTGTGTGCGCGAATTGCGCCTCTCACGTGCCTAGAGGCACAGATGACTCCACCACGTGCGCCCGCATCTTCTTGGCGGGCGGCGGGCACTGCGGCACGGCAACGAAGACGGTGGCCAGGTCGTGTGGCACCGGGTAGAAGAAGAGCCGCTGCTGCAGCGGCGCCCGCTTCCTCGTCGGCACCGGCGCCGACTTCCGCGGCGCCGGCGGGCACACCGTCGCCGGCAACAGCGCGCTGTCGGCCGTGGTCGGCGTGGTGAAGCTGTTCTCGTCGCCCGCAGCGGCGCAGCCGTCTCGCTGCCCAATTACTCCACCCGTGGCCAGCGGTGTGGCGAAGCCGACTTCGGCGCCGTCGTCTTGCTGCAGTGGCGCAATTGGCAGCATGGCCATGCAGCCGCTCGACCTCGGCGTGACGCAACCAGTGTCGGCGGCTGCGTCGTCGTCGTCGACTCCCCCTGCCATGGCCGATTGCGCGCCGCTCGCCGTCGGCGTGACGCAGCCAGTGTCGGCAACGGCAGTGCCGTCGTCCTCCCCCGGTACTGACGTGGCCCGGGCGCCGCTCGCGGCCGTCTGGATCGGCCGGAGCGCCGCCAATTCAGAGATTTCCGCGACATCGAGGCCCATCGAAGCTGGTGCGCGCACGCAGATCCCACTGCTGCTCTAGATCCTCTCTCAAGGGATCCAAGAAATAGTTTATGGGAGAGAATTGGCTGAGCTGGGGAGCTAGCCAGTGGTGTGATGTGACTCTGCTTGCTTGCGTGTGGTCTTTTGTAGTAGCAGCGTAGGCAGGCGTCGTGGAGGTGATGATGGAGGAGTGGCTAAATAAGTAAAGGAGAAGCAAGCGAGGAACAGAATTATATGCAGGCAACAAGCAAAGGCCGGGCGCATGTTATATAGATCATGAGAGAGAGAAGAGAGTGAGAGAGTGAGGTAGAGAGAGAAGGGCAGTGCAAATGGGGTGGCTCAAATGATTGTGGGTGGGATGAGAGGGTGGTGAAACTCTTGGATCGAGTAAGTAGATCGCTGCCCCCTCCCCCTCCTAAAGCTTCCATGTTCCATTTTCTGTGTACCATGATCTCTCTCTTGTGCAGAAAAAGGGTTCAATACGAATCAGATTAGACGGATGAGGAGCAGCAAGAAGCAGAAGCAAAAAGGGTTCAAGAGGCAGGCTGCAGGGGCCGGATCATGAATTTTCACTGCACCAGGGTTAATTTCGCTCCACCCCGCTCTGCCCTCTTCACCACCCATTCCCGCAGTGTAAGATACAACTACAGTGTTTAAGGACGGCGATTAATGTTTACTTAATTACTAGTACTACCGAGTGGAATGTTGTTCCTACCTACTCCCTCCACATTCCGATTTACTCGTCGTGGTTTTAGTTCAAATTTGAATTAAAACCACAATGAGTAAATCAGAACCGATGGAGTACCTACAGCTGCATACAGCTGCATACAGGTGGTGCAGAAGGATGTTTACAGCAGCACAGTGAAGTTAATCTACTCTGCAAGGCATGTTCTTCTCTACTGCTATAGAGTAGTAGTGGTACATCTCCCCGACGATGATGCTGTATTGCTATAGAGTAGCTACTAGGACGTACAAGTATGGTTAATTGCCGCCATGTGTATTGTTTGTTAGAGCAGATGGCTCACATGATCCCATCAATTTTGCATCGCTGGGTGCTTTCTGTACACATGCATGGATCTGTCCTCTTGCCACCGACTAGAAACTATATTCAATATTCATCCGATTGAAGATTACAGACCCATTTGAAACAAATGAATGACGATGCAGGAATCCAATGCGACAAGTTGTATAGGCAGAAGAAGAAGAAGAAGAAGAAGAAGAAGAAGAAGAAGAAGAAGAAGAATGGTGATGCAAATAGGAGTTAGCTAGGAGGTAGATGGTTCATGTGGCCGTGTCATGCATGCCTCATACCGGGCTGTGTGGAAGCCATGACAGGTGGGCCCCGCGCCGCTACACAGTGAGCTGAACCGTGGGACAGGGCCCTAATAATTTTCGGTGCAGGCTACGCCGGTCATCCAACCCAATGTGAGCCGTCAAATAGACCCTGCCTGTGCCTGGCGCGCTGCGCTGCCCAGCATGCGGCGAGTCCCATTGTTTCCTTCTGCATGCTCCGCGACAATTTCTGAGCCAATGTAACAGGAGAATTTTGCTCAAATCAGGCTAATCTTTTCCATTTCTCTAATACAAGAGGACGGTCATCTAATTTCTTAGTGCTAAGTGGACCACAAAGATAAGGTAGACAACACAAATCACGTTAATATTTTTTCTGAGTACTGTTCAAGAACTCGTCAGATTAATCAGTTAGCAGACCAGTTAATCGCTACTCGTAGGGTGACCGAATCGAATAGCGTCTATTCATTGTAATAACTTGTCAGGCTGATTAATTGGCCCGTTAGACCGATTAATCCATTGTTAGGCCGATTAATCGCTGCTGACCCATTAACTTGTAGGCAAACAAAGCCCAATTTTTTTCTTGTAACCCCTCCCATCCCCTCTCGCTCCTCGATAGCTAGGGTTCGACCAAACAGTAGCATATTTTTTGTTGGAAAAGACAGCGCCTAGGAGGCGCTTAGGGCATAAATGGATGTCTAGTCAGTGCTAGCAAGGAATTGTCTACCTAAGCAGGGAATCATGCCATATTGCACTGATTTGCCAAAAGGTTCATATTTCAATGGCAGTAGCTGGTAATTAACTTATTTATATGCCCTAAATTAATATAGACACATATATAATACTCACAAATGCACCCTGATAGTAAAACTATATTACCGCCTAGGCCGCGCCTATGGCGCTTAAGCACCGCCTAGGCACTAGGCGAAGGCCAACCGCCTCGCTTACGCCTACTGCTTTTTCCAATCTATTATTTTGGTAATTACATAGCTGAAAGCATGACACTATGGTATAATACATAAAAGTACTAGATATATGTTGGCAATTACTATTTAATATACCGATTAATGGTCGACCAACTAATCTTCTATATCTAAATAGCTAGCCCCCTCTAACATATTTCTCTCAACATGCAAACATGGCACCTCATCAAGCAACATGCATTAGAAAAGGCCCACCTCAACATTCAATGAGTCATGGGAAAAGGTTCACCTCAACATGCACTAGTAGAAAACATGGCTTTGGTCCAGGCCTGGCCAGCCCATTAGTCCCGTTTCAGTCACGAACCGGGACCCATGGGGGCATAGGTCCCGGTTCGTGAGGCCAGGGGGGGCGACCGGGCCTCGTGGGGCATTGGTTCTGGTTCGTCTGGACCAATGGTTGTGGGCCAGGAGCGAGGTCCATTGGTCCCGGTTCGTGTCTGGAACCGGGACCAAAGGGGGTCCTTTAGTACCGGTTCCAGCCATGAACCGGGACCAAGCCTATATATACCCCCTCGCCAGCGAGCAGAGCACTCCACGCTGCTCTATTTTTTTGGCCGGCGAGGGGAGAGATTGTTGGGGAACGTAGTAATTTCAAAAAAATTCCGACGTACACGCAAGATCATGGTGATGGCATAGCAACGAGAGGGGAGAGTGTTGTCCATGTACCCTCGTAGACCGTAAGCGGAAGCGTTATGACAATGCGGTTGATGCAGTCGTACGTCTTCACGATCCGACCGATCCAAGCACCGAACGTACGGCACCTCCGAGTTCAGCACACGTTCAGCTCGACGACGATCCCCGGGCTCCGATCCAGCAAAGCTTCGGGGATGAGTTCCCTCAGCACGACGGCGTGGTGGCGATGATGATGCTCTACCGGCGCAGGGCTTCGCCTAAACTCTGCGACGATATGACCGAGGTGGAATATGGTGGATGGGGGCACCGCACACGGCTAAGGAACAATCCGTAGATCAACTTGTATGTCATGGGGTAACCCCTTGCCCCCGTATATAAAGGAGCAAGGGAGGAGGAGGCCGGCCCTAGGAGGAGGGCGCGCCAAGGGGAGTCCTACTCCCACCGGGAGTAGGACTTCCTCCTTCCTTGTTGGAGTAGGAGAAAGGGGGAAAGAGGGGGAGAGGAGGAAGGAAAGGGGGCCGCATCCCTTGTCCAATTCAGACCAGAGGGGGGCTGCGTGCCTCCTTCCTTTCGTCCTCTCTCCTCTATTCCCGTATGGCCCAATAAGGCCCATATACTCCCCGACGAATTCCCCTAACTCTCCGGTACTCCGAAAAATACCCGAATCACTCGGAACCTTTCCGAACTCCGAATATAGTCGTCCAATATATCGATCTTTACGTCTCGACCATTTCAAGACTCCTCGTCATGTCCCCGATCTCATCCGGGACTCCGAACTCCTTCGATACATCAAAACTCATAAACTCATAATATAACTATCATCGAAACCTTAAGCGTGCGGACCCTACGGGTTCGAGGACTATATAGACATGACCTAGAACTATTCTTGGTCAATAACCAATAGCAGAACCTGGATGCTCATATTGGCTCCTACATATTCTATGAAGATCTTTATCGGTCAAACCGCATAACAACATACGTTGTTCCCTTTGTCATCGGTATGTTACTTGCCCGAGATTTGATCGTCGGTATCCAATACCTAGTTCAATCTCGTTACCGGCAAGTCTCTTTACTCGTTACGTAATGCATCATCCCGTAACCAACTCATTGGTCACATTGCTTGCAAGGCTTATAGTGATGTGCATTACCGAGAGGGCCCAGAGATACCTCTCCGACAATCAGAGTGACAAAACCTAATCTTGAAATACGCCAACTCAACATGTACCTTCGGAGACACCTGTAGTACTCCTTTATAATCACCCAGTTACGTTGTGACGTTTGGTAGTACCCAAAGTGTTCCTCCGGTAAACGGGAGTTGCATATTTCTCATAGTTACAGGAACATGTATAAGTCATGAAGAAAGCAATAGCAATATACTAAACGATCAAGTGCTAGGCTAACGGAATGGGTCATGTCAATCACATCATTCTTCTAATGATGTGATCCCATTAATCAAATGACAACACATGTCTATGGTTAGGAAACATAACCATCTTTGATTAATGAGCTAGTCAAGTAGAGGCATACTAGTGACTATATGTTTGTCTATGTATTCATACATGTATCATGTTTCCGGTTAATACAATTCTAGCATGAATAATAAACATTTATCATGAAATAAGGAAATAAATAATAACTTTATTATTGCCTCTAGGGCATATTTCCTTCAGTCTCCCACTTGCACTAGAGTCAATAATCTAGTTCACAGCGCTATGTGATTTAACACCAATATTCACATCTGCATGTGATTAATACCCATAGTTCACATCATCATGTGATCAACACCCAAAGGGTTTACTAGAGTCAATAATCTAGTTCACATCGCTATGTGATTAACACCCAAAAGAGTACTAAGGTATGATCATGTTTTGCTCATGAGATAAGCTTAGTCAACGGGTCTGTCATATTCAGAGCCGCATGTATTTTGCAAATATTCTATGTCTACAATGCTCTGCACGGAGCTACTCTAGCTAAATGCTCCCACTTTCAATATGTATCTAGATTGAGACTTAGAGTCATCTGGATCGGTGTGAAAGCTTGCACCGATGTAACTCTTTACGACGGGCTCTTTTATCACTTCCATAATCGATAAAT